TTTTTTTTTTTTTTTTTAACAAGAAACAACCCGAGTGAGTGCTAGGGGTGCTGATAAGAGCAGACACCACTAGCATACTCGGAGAGGCTCCATCTATTGGTGGGGAGCATTGGAGCAACACCTGCTGGAAAGCTGGTCCAGCATCCCTCAACATTTTAGGAAGGGGCATTCTTCTTTCTTATTTTTAAACTTGCTTGTTCCATTTTATTCTTCTTTCCAAAAAGTACAAGAACCACCGTCGTTGCTTGTTTTCTTTTTTTTCTTCTCTGAAATTATTTTTGACGAAACAGCCCGAAATGTTGCTAGCGGTGCTGATAAGAGCAGACACCACTAGCACCATCGGGGAGGCTCCATCTATTGGTGGGGAGCGGCACCTGCTGGAAACCGGGTCCAGCGTCCCATTGATACATCTTTACACCTGCTGGAAACCGGGTCCAGTGTCCATATGCAAAACAATATGTGTCAGCACAAAGTTTCATAGTCCGTTCTTTGTTTGTCCTTTCCTAAGATCTGTGGTCTTTCGTCTCCTTATCCCCAGGGCTCCACTTTCCCTTGAAGCTGCTCATGCTACCCATCCCAACCTGGAGCACCGACTCGTCTATTGACCCAGACCAATTCCACAGCCCCCCTTATATGCAAACTTGTAATCTGTGAGCATTGTACCTTGTGGTCATTGGGATTAGCAGGGCCACTCTCTTTATTGTTGCGTGTCTGTGTTTCTGTGTTCATATATAGAGAGAGGAATAGCAGTAGGTTATAGTGATGTAGTTATTGTGTTCATGAGTAACAATATGGGGAATGCATCATGTATATCATTCATACTATGAAGTATGTGTGGTAAGTTAAGGTATACCAGCATGAGATATCTTGTGTTATGGGGTTATAGGCATCTGCAGTATGTGAGTATGACGGTGGCTGATGTGGTCCATAATCATCCTTCCCCTGTGTTATGGGGTTATAGGTATCTGCAGTATGTGAGTATAAGGGTGGCTGATGTGGTCCATAATCATCCTTCCCCGCTTCCCCCACCACTCCATCCCATTTCTTGATTTGTCCTGTGGCATCTGTAGTAAGGCTCCTTTGCCCCCACCTGTCTTGCTGCGGTAGTAATCCAAAGGCAACCTGATAGATAAGAGTCCCAGACCGGTTGCAGAGAAAAGGGGGGGA